TTCTATAAATCAAAATTACAAGCTCCATTAAATCATTTAACCTTTTTTTCTATGATGTAAATGTTTGTATGTGTATCAATTTTCAGGCTTTGTCGCTCGGTTTATTACGTTCCGACTATTTGGCTCACATGTTCGAAGACAATTCAATAAAACAAGTTGAAATCAACACGATTGCCTCTAGTTTCGGTGGCATCTCCACACAAATGATGCCTCTGCAGAGGTATTTTGGTTTTTTTGCAACATCAAACTATCTATTTTTCTTTTCTTTTAATTCTCTCTACTCTTTACATTTTATAGTTTTATAGTTATAAGTGGCAAACAAAAATTAGAAAACTCCTAAGTTTTAAGCTTATTTTAATTTTTTTTAACAAATGTATTTAAATATAGTTGCTGATTGTAAAAAAAATGCTTCTGCTCCCTTTTTCAAATAATATTTTCCTTTTTTATTGTAACAACTAATTTTCTATTGTTTTAAATTTTGTTTTTTTTAGCTTGCATGTTTGGTTTTTATTATTGATTTATTTTATGTAGTATTCTAAATTTTAATACTAATTTAAACTCAAATCTTTAAGTAAATTAATTCGTTAATTTAAGCGTTATTTTTTTAACTTGTATGCGTTGTTTCTTAGTAATGTAAGTATGTACATATGTAGTTATGTATGTATGCATACGATTTATACATAGTTTATAGATGTACATATTTACACAATAATCTAGTGCTCTTAACGCAATTGTAGACTTATTAGAGTTCGGAATTTAAACGCATTAATATGGTTATGTGTTTTGTATATGTACACAGCTGATTGTTTTTTTGTTTTACATTACATTAATCTATAATTTTTTTTTCTAATCTAGCTTTGTGATGCGCGAGCTGGGCCATGTAGATAAATTAAAGAATGTAAGTGCATACGATTTATATTGCATTCTAGATATTTTAATATATTACGTCAATGCCTTTTTCCCAGATGCCTGAAAATACTGCCTTGTCCGGCATTTGTGGCGGCATGATTAAGGCCTGGGAATTGTACGAAAAACCGAAAGCTGTTATACTCTTTGTTATTGAAGATGTTTCATATAATATCTGTGATCAGGTATGCTTCGGATTAAAAACGACATATGTACCATGAATGTACTAATAAAAATTTTTTTTAATATTCAACAGCGGTTTCATGAGTTTTATATACGCGAACAAAGTCCTCATATCCACGTATTGCGTCGCACTTTAACAGAGATACATAAAGAAGGCAAATTAGGACCGAATAAAGAATTGTTTCTGTAAGTTCATTATTTTCATGTATAACTCAGATTTAAAATAATTGGCCATAGGTTGGAAAATAATTTATAAAAAAGTTAACAAATGTTTATTGTTTTGAGCAAGAAATTCCGATAATTTTTTGCTTCTTCCATTTATCATTATATTTAAGAGCACTAATGCTTCCGACAACTTTTCCATAATCTCTTTTTAATTTTTACTTAGGCTGTGTTTCTTTATACATTCCAGATAGTCCCATTTCACAGTCAGAATAAACATAATACGTTTGAAATATACGTTAACATGTCATCAGGAACGTTCTAAAGAATAAGTAAACAAAAAAGTTTATTCCAAACGTTCAGAATGAATAAAGAAATGCAGCCTTAAAATTTCTAATATTTTCATATCCTCTTCCCAGTAGATTATTTAGGTAGACCTTCTTAAGTGAAGCCATTCTAAAAAGTTTAGCCAAGGAGGGCGGTAAAAAGTACTTCTTTGCATATCTTCTAGGGGGGCGTTTCCTATTTAAAATTTACGCGAATGTATATGTTTATATTAGTTAACATACATACATAAGAAAAACTTCTCCAAAAAGCCTTCTGAAGTTCGTGCTACAAAAGTCCTTCTATGGGAAGTGAAAGCAGAAGCCTTTCAATTTGTGACCCGCCATACAAAAAAAGAAAGTAGAAAGTAGCGGAAGGCCTTTTCACCTTCGAAACGGTTTTTTGGGACGACTTTAGTTCCTGAAATTATCTACTGGAAAGATGTCAGTCTGCACATTGGTTCCTTAAAAAGATTACGAGAAAACATTTTGTAGAATCAAACCCTTAGCGTTGGTGTAACGAACTAAAACATCTAAAGCACTTCGACATCGTTTTATGAAAAAAAAAGTTTTGTTAGTTTCGGCTTTTTTGCATTTCAAGTGACGAGATGTAAATACATTTTTATATCTAAAGCTGTGGCACTACCCGAAATTAAGATAAAAACATACAGCGGCATCATGTTTAATCCAATGATTTTTTCAACTTCAGGGACGCAATTAAAATTACTTGTTTAACAATTTTGTAGAACATTGTGATCCCCTAGCTGTATTTTTTAATGAACTTACCTGCTTCGATTATTATAAGAGTAAGAGTTTTCACTATTAAAAAAATTTGATGAGGTGGAACTAAATTCACGCTATATTTTGTTGGAGCCTAAATAATACCCTTGAAATTGTTTCACAGCATAATTTATGCAACATTCATTTTTTATGAAAATTTAAAGCACTCCACTAAAAAAATCGAAAATCGTAGAAATTGAAATACATACTTTTAAATTTGTTTGTTATCCATGAAGTTTGTTATTCATTATTTAGTATTTTTCTAATGTTAGCCTCTTACCTCAAAGAACTATGTACATTAGGGTGCCAAAGAGCAGTTGCAGTTTTTCCACCGGAATTATAAAATTTTTTGTTGTATTGCGAGATTTCCGCCAAACTATAAAATACCGATTTGAAAATACCTTCTGAATTCACTATTTTGATTCCGTTGATTAAATTTGTAAACATTTGAGGTGGTTTTTGAAGAAAAATATTTTTAGAAACTAATTTTATTTATAAGAAACTCGATTTTTGAGGTATTTTGCAATATTATGCGTCCGATGGATAGTGATTCACCCGAATACATATGTATGTATTTGCATATATAGTGGTCGAACAAATTATAGCCACACATTTTGACAAATTTTAATATATTCTGCCTTATCCTGAGTTTCGCCTGAAATTCACCCGAAAATTTGTCATCCGCCCATAGTAAAACCATGGAAACCAAAAGTGAGAAGTGAACCGGCTCGAGAAAATGAAACTCATTGTTCACATAACGGTTGTTTGTAACAGCCAAAACGAATCGAGATAGATATAGACAAATGTATACATACATAAATGCTCAGAATGAATAGAGAAGTCGATTAAGTCACGTCTGTCTGTCCGTCCGTCCTTGTCTGAAATTTGGTATGTAGGTTTCCCTTTATCCAAGGTAAGTTGGTATTGAAAATCGGGGAAATAACTGTAACCACGGCCACTTCCCATATCACGGTATTTTCAAAAAATGCAAGAACTACGATATTTCAGTATATATTGGATGCAAACTCGGTGCACTTAATAACCTTGATAAAAAAAAGCCATTCGTTGAAAATTATTCAAATCGGACTAAAATTACACCAGCTTAACGGCAAATTTCAGAAATACGAAAAATTTTAATAACTGAGGACGCTTATTTACTCCAAGTTAATAGTAATAACAATCTCGTAACAATAAATAAGACTGCTATAGACTTTTAGGAATTGGGCGTAGCATCGCCCACTTTATTACTGCACGGGTTCCAACAAACTTGGTTCAATTATATCATTAAGGGCCGTTTGCACCATGTCTAGTTAACGCTAACTGGAGGTACATCCTTCAGTTAAGCACATCCACTGCTTTATCGATCACATGTTATATGATGGGTGTCGATAACGTCGATAAAGATGTTTAACTGGGAGTTAGAATTAACTAGACATGGTGCAAACGGCCCTAAGTCTAACTCAACGAAAACGTTTGAAATCAGGTACTTTAGAGAAAGTTGCAATGACGATATGATGCCTGTTCCGGGCATATAAAGTTCGGTTTCACCCGAACTTCTACTTCTTTACTTGTTATTTATTTTTGGTTATTTTATTATAAAAATATAGTTCATTCTCCCATTTAATCCAAGTTTGAAACTTTTTGCAATATGATAATAAGATTTGACTGCAATAAACTATATACTCAGTATCTTTCTAGGAATTCTAATTAAATAAGCTCGAACTTTTTACGAAAGTTAGTTGTATTCTTTTGCACAAAGTTGAATTTACACGGGTTTTGTTGTTAAAGAATGAACTATATTTTTACAATAAAATAGCAAAAATTAAATAAGAAAATAATGTGATAAAACTTGTCAAACTGTGGTACGGTGCGGCTATAATTTGTTCGACCACTATATGTATGTATCTATGTTTATGTATGTATACCTATATCTAAAAAATAATCCTTCAGTAAATTAAAATTTATTTGCTTTTACGCAGCGGGGAGTACGAAGTGGCTGTTATTTATTTCCGTGCTGGCTACGAGCCTGCCCACTATCCCTCACAAGATGAATGGGATGCACGCTACATGATGGAGTGCTCGCGTGCGATCAAATGTCCTTCCATTCACTATCATTTGGCTGGCACCAAAAAAGTTCAACAAGCACTTGCCCAGCCCGAAATGTTGGAGAGGTTTATAAGCGATCCAGAAAAGGTAAGAAAATTTATGTAATTCTACATAGTTTGGCGAAATTTAAGCCAGTGAAACTTGTTAAATTGTAAAGCGCTTATCTTTATTTATTTTTGTTTTCAGATAAAAGCAGTAGGGCAAATTTTTACCGGTCTTTATTCGCTGGATGACTCTGAAGCTGGTAATGCCTCGTACGAAATGGCATTAAAGGAACCGGAACGATTTGTTTTGAAGCCACAACGCGAAGGCGGCGGTAATAATGTATATGGCGTTGACATTCCAGATGCACTGAGGGTAAGTTAAGACTCGGATCTATAAAACTAAAAATTTTTACATGCTCTTGGAAGCCGGATTCTCAAAACTATTTGAAATAAGTACAAACATACTTATATCTATTTTGCTAAACACCAGCTTTTATTGCATCAGCAACTTTTTGGGAAAAGCTGCTGGTGGGACTAACCTTGTTCAAATATAGATTTCAGTCGTTCCGATTACGTGGACGCAAAGTTCCAGACATTTGCAGTCAATCCATAAAGTTTAGGAACAGGTTTTTGCAATATCGGAAACTATTTTGTAGATATTTTATTTTTCCTTAGTTATAAAAATAAGGTTAATCCTACAATAAAAACCCCAAAAAATCAGAGTTTCAAACCTTGCCTAAAATTAATGAACATTCTGCAAATTTTCATTAAAATATTCCTTTTTTAATTACGATTTTCAAGAAAAAATTGGGTGTACCCTTTTTCAGCCCATTTAATTTTAGTATAATAAAGTAGGCAAGTTTGAGGTAGCTAGGACTTACAATTAATGTTTGGGATTTTTTTTTTTTGTTGAAGGCATCGCTCATTTTCTCCATATGTATAGAATTATCGAACAAACACAACGATTTTAACAACTTCCTTTTCAATGTTTAGAAAATGAATCGGCTTGAACGCGCCGCTTGGATTCTTATGGATCTAATCCAACCGCCAATTTCCAAGGGTTACATGATACGTCCAGGCGGTAAGTCGCCACCGGAAATAGTTGATCTCGTCTCAGAGTTGGGTATTTTTGGCGTAATAATTGGCGATGTGGACAATATAATTTGGAATTATCAAGCGGGCCATATGCTGCGCACTAAACTCTCGACTGCGAACGAGGGCGGTGTTGCGGCGGGACTCGGCGCACTGGATAGTCCCTATTTACTGGATTAGTGTTTTAACTTGTAGTTTGTATTTTATAAATTTTTAGTAAATTTTGGCACAATCTTTTTTCTTAAGCTGCAACGATGAA